AGATATAAATAGGAGTGTCAGAGATTCTGTTCTCTCTGAAAGCTGGCTCTGAGAAAACTGGACCAGTGTCAAGTACTATGCGTGTGTTAATAAGGGGTGACTTGGTAACAGGATACTGGCCTCTGTGGAGTTATTTCAAAATGGGCTATTCCTGGCAATTGACAACTGTTTCATGGTCTGCATATACTCTTAATTCCAGATTGTTTTATTGAATTTGAATTCCATCTGCCATAATGGGATTCAAACCCTGGAACATTACTTAGGTTTCTGGATTAATATAAAACAAACGTATGCTGATGCAAGAGATCTGAAACAAAAACAGATATTGCTGGAGAAACTCAGCAGGTCTGGCAACATCTGTGGAGAGACAAAGAAGTTAACATTTTGAGTTCAATGACTCTTCAGAACTGATAGCATCTGGGATAACGTGATATTTATCTTGATGAAACGGGGTAGAAAGTAAAAGGAGTGAGCAGATAGTGGAGATGGAGCTCAGAGAGAGAGAGGGAGAAAGAAAGAGAGGAACAAAGGGATTGTTAATGGTAAGCCAGGGAAGAAGAAATGCTGGATAGGTTTTAATGGACACTATCAGTGGGTGAAAATGGGTTGGCTGTGCTGAAATCAACCTATGTCATGACCGGACTTGGGGTGTGGGGGTGGGTAAAAGACTTGGAAGGAGGTGATCAGGCTGTAAGATTATTGAGCTCAATATTGAGTCCTGAAGGCTGCAAGGTCACCAGGCAGAAAATGAGATGCTGGAGGAACAGATCCCTGGATTAATAGTCTAGTGATAATACCACTAGGCCATCACTTCTTCAGACTGTTAGCACCTTTGTGCCAATTTTGACCCTGAGATGAGCTTGCAACCATATGTTCCATCATAACTAAAACCCCTATTTCTATTTCTGTAACATTAAGCTGTGAAAACCTTCATCCATGCCTTTCGTACCTCTATACTATATTACTCAAAAACATCAAGTCATCATCACATATTTGATCTGATTTAAACTTAAGATCATCCACGTCTGTCCTTTCTGTTTCCTAACTTCGACCAAGTTATGTTCACCCATTACCCATTTGATAGCTGGTCCAATTTGACTTCAAGTTAGACACTGCCATGATTTTGAAATTCTCACTCTTGATTTCAAATACCTACATGGTCTCACCTTCTATATGTCTTTGTTTCAACCAGAAGAGATATCTGCACTGCTACTATTTTGTCCTCTTGAGTGATCTGTAATTTTAATCACTCCAATATTGGCAGCTGTCTCTTCAGTTGCCTGGTCCATAAACTCTATAATACCCTTTATGCTAGAATACCTTCATTGTTGATTTAAGCTGGCCAACAAATATCTGACTATGCTAATCTCCTTTTCCAGCTTTTGGCCCATTGCCCTGGAGGCTATGGCAACGCAAGTGAATATCTAAATACTACTTAAGTGGTATGTTCAGTGAGTTCCAGGCTCCTGCCACCTTCTCAGTGAAAACATTTCTCCTCATCTTTCCTCTTAGCCTTCTACTTCTCACTTTCAATCTACACCTAATAGTCATTGGCTTCTCTACAAATGGAAGAAGTGCAATCATATTCACTCCATCTATGCTCCTCATAATCTTAATGCACCTCTTACAGGTTTCCTCTCAACCTTCACTGCTTCAAGGTAAGTAACCCAAATCTTTCCTCATAGCTCAGACCCTCCAGCCTAGGCATCATCCCGGTAAATCTCCACTGCACCCAAGGATGTGACTTCACTAAAGTGATGACCAGAACTCCATATAGTACTCCAGTAATGGCCTAACCAATGTTTTAGATAGTTCCAATACAACCTCCTTGCTCTTGTATTCTATACCTTGGCTATATGGCAAGTATCCCATAGGCCTTCTTAACTACCTTATCTACCTGTCCTGCTGCCTTCAAGGATCTATGGACATGCACATCAAGGTCCCTCTGATCTTACCTTGTTAGTTATCCCTGAGTGCATTAACTCACATTTCTCTGAGTTGAATTCCATTTGCCGCTGTTCTATCCACTTGACCAGTCCATTGAAGTTCTCCTACAGTTCACAATTCTTTTTTCTTTATTCAGTCATGGGATGTGGGCATCACTGCCTGGGTCAGCGTTTACTGTCCATTCCTAGTTGCCCTTGAGGAGGTGGTGTTGAGCTATCTTTCTCAGTGTTTGCCATCCTACCAATTTTTGTGTCTTCCGCAACTTCTTATCATTCCCCCTACATTTAAGTCCAAATTATTAATGTGCACTGAAAACAACAAGGGCCCAAATCTGAGCCCTGCACAACCCCACTGGAAACAGAGTTCCATTCATGGACCATCCTTCTAACATCACGCATTTCTCCTTGTCTGTCAGCCAGTTTAAATGTAATGTGCCACTTTAGCTTGGAACCCATGAGCTCCACTTTCTTGACGGTCTTTTGGCTTTAATAAAAGCTTGCTACAGTTCATGGAGACCACATCAAATGCATAGCCATCTTCAACATTTCCACCTCAAAAAATTTGATCAAATTTGTCAACTGCTATGTTCCCTTAACAAATCCATGCTGACTATCCCTGATTAGTCCCTGACTGTCCAAGTGGAGATGTATTCTGTCCTTCAGAATTCTTTCTAATAACTTCCCCACCACTGAAATTAGACTGGCCTGTAATTTCATGGGTTATCCCTTCCTCTGTTTTTAATGATATTAGCAGTTCTCCAGTCTTTGGCACCTCACTTTTGACAAGAGAGGATCTGAATGTTAATGCCAGAAACCCTGATATCTCCTCCCAAACTTCCCTCAACAGCCTGGGATACATCTCATTCGGACCTGCAAATTTATTAATTAATTTACTATTAATACTATATTGATTAATGTAAACCCACTACTACCTCCTGTCTATGTTAGTTTCTTCTAATATTTCACAGTTCTCTATCTTGATATCTATTCCTGCACCATCCTTTTCCACTGTTAAGACCGATGCAAAGTATTAATTGAGGACTGCACCCATGTCTTTCCAATCAAGATTAACTCTATGCTCCCTAATGGGCACTACTTGTTCCCTAATTATTGTCATGCTCTTTATATATTCAATAAAAACCCTTTGCATTTTCCTTTATTCTACCCACAAATATTTTCTTGTGCACTGTCTTAACTCTCCTATTTTTCTTCTTAAGGTTTCCCCTGTACCTCTGCCATAAGCTTCTCGTTTTTTTCTTAATCCTCACTTCCATGTCCCTTGGAATCCAGAGTTCTCTCGTCTTGGTCCCATCCTTTATCTAATGGAATAGTATTTGCCTTGTACTTTTGCTACTTTCTCCTTGAAAGCTTCCCACTGTTCTGATACAGTTGGTCTGTAAATAGCTGCTCCCAGTCCCATGGGCCGAATCATATCCTATCTTAGTAAAATTAGCCTTTCCTTGGTTTGCAACATTTATTCCTGCCTGTCCTTATCCTTTTCTGTAACTATCCCAAATCTAACTGAGTTATGATTATTTTCTCTAAAATGACCCCCTACTGATACATCTTCCACCTACCTGAGCTCATTTCTGAATATTAGGTCCAGAACTGGGGCCATTGTTGGCCTTTCTACACACTGGCTAAAAAAATTGGCCTTGAAGCAATTTAAGAATTTTGTTTCCTCTCTACGTCACACACTAAAACTATCCCAGTTAATTTTTGGATTGTTAAAATCCCTATTACTGCCTTATTATTCTTATATTTTTATGAAATTTGATTGCATATTTGATCCTCCATCTCTTGCTGACCGCTTGAGGGTTTATAGTACACACCCAGCAACATGTTACCCTTTTATTTATTTCTTAATACTCTTATGGCTTCATTTGATGATCCTACCGTGACAGTATCTGTTCTCGCAGCTTTAATTGGGTCCTTGAACAACTTTGCACTATGTCCCTTTCTATCTCATCTGAATAGTCAGGAATGTTGAGCTGCCAATCCTGCCCACTTTTCAGCCAAGTCTCAGTCATAGATATGATATCACAATCCCCTGTGCCTTTCTGTGTTCTCAGCTTGTCTATCTTATTTGTCAGGCTCTTTGCATTAAAATATAATCCATTTAGCCTTGATAAACTCACTTATTTCTTATCTAACCTATGTTTCCTCTGACCTCTAGATTCATTAATGTTTTAACATCTAATTCCACTTCAGCTTCATTCCCCTCTGAGTTACTTGTCGGAATCGCACCTCACAGTAATCCAGTTTAAATCCATTCCAACAGCATTAGCAAACCTTCCAGAGAGGATGTTTGACCTGTTTTGGTTCAGATATAATGCACCCACCTTGTAGAGCTCCCACCTCTCCCAATGCCACTTTCTTTCTTACGTTATGATTCTTGTTAAAATCTACCTCTAGTCCAAGCTTTTGAACACCTGCCCAACTCTCCTCATCTGCTTCAGTGTCAGTTTTCATTTCAGTACCACTCCTGTGAAAAGCCTGGGCCATTTTATTGCATTATTGAGTGCATGGTTGTTGTAACAATAACAATAAGCCTTGTCTGTGAATTATTTCATTCAGTCCAGCAATAGTTTCACATATGGTTGTGAGTCAGTGACAGTACCAGAAACTAGGAATGTCGATATTGGTTCTGTGCTCAGTTGTACTTCTTTGAATTTACATCCAAAAGTACTCCTCTTCATATGGTTTGTACTTGGTTTACTGACATTCCTGCGAAAATTTTGCCTGTCAATGAAAAACACATCAACTACTCCTACTTATTTCACCATTTACAGTTGTTCGTTCAACACCATTTCATGTACAAATCTTCAACTTGTGAATACCTTTACCTGAGCCCTAATTCTACTTTAGAAAGCAGTACCTCCAGTAATGTGAGCTTGAACTGAATCTCATCACATGGGAGATGAGCTAGCACCTTGTCACATTGTGGAGAAATACCATAAAAGGGAACCTCTCTTTACAAATACTTGTCAAGGCGGAGTGTGACAGTGCTTGCATAACTCTAGCAGCTGTGAAATCAGCAATACTTACAAGGAATTACAAGGTAAACAAACATTCTTTAATCACACAGAAAACAGGTTATTCGCTGCCCAACACCAAGCGACCATTCACAAACTGAGAAAGAATTCAACAAGGAATGAGAAGATATTTAACTCAATGCCTACAAAAGTAGGATACATTTCTCACACGTTTGTATATTTTAATCACTGGAACTGAGGAATAGTTAAACAGCAGTAACCTATCAAATCAAGTGTACAAAACATTATTCTCAGGATGAAAAATAACAAAAGAACTCTCTATGTCCAAAGATATTCATTATTATTGGATTAGTCCAAATGGTCACATTCATATAAATAATTCTTATTTCCAAACGAAATCCATGGTTCAGATTGTTTGAGAAAAAATAATCTTTTCAAATGTCAGAGAAAGCAGGAACTGCAGATGCTGGAGAATCTGAGATAACAAGGTGAAGAGCTGGATGAACACAGCAGGCCAAGCAGCATCAGAGGAGCAGGAAGGCTGACGTTTCGGGCCTAGACCCTTCTTCAGAAATTTCAAACATCAAACATGTTGCATAATGCAACTTCATCATTTGTTTTCTGGACTCATCCCTCTGGAGGTGGAGGGATCAGTTTTCAGTTAGTCTTTGAGAAGCAACATGTCGATAGCTGAAGAGCTTGCAGGTTTCTTTGCAGCGTGCAAATTGTGGATTGTTAAACAGCACAAATGGAAGGAGGTGTGGGTGAGCTGAATTCTGGGAGCTCCTTACAATTCCTTTTGAGTTGTGGTCAGTCATTATCGTAGATGCATTCTAAATGACAAAAATGACACAGGTGAATTAATGAGAACTATTGACCCTGCAAATCTGACATAAAACAAACTGCTGCAAATGCATAAACTAGAGAGAGATTAGCTAGGTTGAGAGTTATGTAATTATAAGACAAGGCTAGTGAATTTAGTTTACTTTTCAGTAGAATAAGGGAGGTTTAGGGAAAATTTGATCGGAGTAAAATTGATAAAAGCTTTCAGGGGTTTTAATATGGCAATCAGGGAACAAAAACTATTTCCATTATTTGGTGAGTTGAAAACTCAGGACATAAATTTAAGCTGACTGTTTTCTAACATCCAGTTTTGGATGAGCTGTGATTACCTGAAGCTAAACATTAGAAAAGCTGAATGCAGATTCTTCCTCGTTCCCTAGTCACCAAATCCAGTTCCCTCCTCAGACGCTATCTCAGGTTGAAGGAAAGCTGTGTGCCACATTGTTGTCCCGGTTTATCCCAAGTTGAGCATATTTCATCCTTGTCTCTAAGTGGTTTCACTCCTTCTTTCTCAGACCTTATATTTTAATCTTTATGAAAGGGAGCTTGAACTTAAGAGTGAGGAAGATGTGCTATAATTATATAGGCAAGACCATAGCTGGAGTATTGTGCATAATCTCCTTACGTAAGGGTGACTTGGTGGCTCAGTGGTTAGCACAGATGCCTTACAGCGCTAGGGACCCAGTTTTGATTCCAGCCTTAGGTTTCCCCCTCGATGCACTGGTTTTCTCCCACAGTCCAAAGATGTGCAGATTAGGTGGATTGGCCATGATAAATTGCACTGTGGTGACCAAGGGGGTGGGGGTTGGATGGATTGACCATGGTGATAATGGAGATAGGGCATGAGGGAGAAGCTGGGTCTGGTGGGATGTACTTTGGAGGGTCAGTGCTGACTCAATGGGCCAAATGGCCTCTATCCATACTGTAGGAATTTTATCCTATGATTCTAAGGAAACATATACTTGTCTGGAAGTCATTGTAGTGAAGATTTACTAAATCAATTTCTGGTCTGTAAATGTACTGTGATGTGCACTTGAATAGACTTGTTGGAGTTTAGACAAATGAGAGAGGATCATTGAAATTTATAAGATTCTGAGAAGGAATCACAGAATCATGCGTTATAGAAGACACCTTTCAGCCCATCAAATCTGCACTGCCTAAGCTACACTAAATCTACACTAGTGCCACTTTTCCACCGCAAGGCCCGTATTCAAGAATGTCATAACATTTAAGTACTCATCCAATTGCTTTTTAAAGGTTGTGAGGTTACCTGCTTGACATGACAAATGATGTGAGGTTTGTTTCTTTGACAGGAGAACCATATGGGGGTCAATATTTTAAGTCGAGTGTGAAGAGTTCCTTCACTCGGGGTTACATGCATTTGAACATACAAACTTACAAATTAGGAGCAGGAATGGGCCATTCAACCCTTCTAGCCTGTTCTGACATTCAAGAAGACCATGACTGATCCGACTGTGGTCTTAACTCTGCATTCACACCGACCATCCAATTACCTTTTGCTTCCTTGTTTGTCAAGAATCTATCTACTTCTGTGTTAAAAGTAGCCATTGACCCATCCTCTACATCGGGGAAACCAAGCGGTGGCTTGGGGACCGCTTTGTGGAACACCTATGCTCGGTTCGCAACAAACAACTGCACCTCCCAGTCGCGGACCATTTCAACTCCCCCTCCCACTCCTTGGATGACATGTCCATCCTGGGCCTCCTGCAGTGCCACAATGCCATCCGAAGGTTGCAGGAACAGCATCTCATATTTCGCTTGGGAACCCTGCAATCCAATGGTATCAATGTGGACTTCACAAGCTTCAAAATCTCCCCTCCCCCGACCGCATCCCAAAACCAGCCCAGCACGTCCCCGCCTCCCTAACCTGTCCTCCCACCTATCCCCTCCTCCCACCTCAAGCCCCACCCCCATCTCCTACCTACCAGCCTCATCCCGCCTCCTTGACCTGTCCATCCTTCCTGGACTGACCTATCCCCTCCCTAACTCCCCACCTACACTCACCTTTACTGGCTCCAACCCCACCTCTTTGACCTGTCTGTCTCGTCTCCACCTACCTTCTCCTTTATCCATCTTCTATCCGCCTCCCCCTCTCTCCCTATTTATTTCAGAATCCCCTTCCCCTCCTCCATTTCTGAAGAAGGGTCTAGGCCCGAAACGTCAGCTTTCCTGCTCCTCTGATGCTGCTTGGCCTGCTGCATTCATCCAGCTCTACACCTTGTTATCATTGACCCATCCTCCATTGTTCTCAATGGGAGATAGTTTCAAAGACTCATGACCCCTGAGTGGGATGAATTTTTCCTAATCACCATTTCAAATGGGAGACCTCTTTTTTAATTTAGCCTCTCCCACAAGGGGAAACATCCTTTCAGCATACATCCCATAAAGGCCCCTCAGGATTTTTATCTTTGAATTAGGTCCCTTCTCACCCATCTAGTGGATACAGTGCTGTAAGTGTTTGGAGGACTGTAGATGGTCAGTCACTGGGTATATTCAAGGCTGAGAGAACTATACTTTTGAACTTCAAGAAAATCAAGGGATGGGGATAAGACAGGAAAGTGGAATTAAGACGAAAGATCAGCCATGATCTAATTGAATGGCAGAGCAGATGTGAGTGGCTGAATTATCTACTCCTGTTCTTACTTCTTATGTTCTTAAAAGTTTTTATTATTTTTATCCATGTTGTTTTGGTCCCCTCCAATAGTTTCCCTAACATCTCCCCCTTTGTTAATTATGTTTTTCTGTCTGTATTAATCATGTCTCTTTTCTAAATTTCTCCCACTATTATCTCTGGATCCGTGCAATCCATGCCTTTACAGACCACTTTTCATCTCAGTGACACACTTGTCCTATGTCCTATCTTTTTAATATTCCTTGGAGGAAGAACTATGATCGAATGATGGAGCAGACTCAATGGGCTGAGTGGCCTAATTCTGCTTCCATATCTTATGGTTTTATGGGCTGTACAAGAATGACACCTGGACTTCAGGGGTTGGGTTATGAAGAGAAATTATATAAATTAGGCCTGTTTTCTCTAGAATTTAGAAAGTTAGGAATCATAGAATCCTAGAATCCCTGCAGTGTGAAAGCAGGCCATTCAGCCCATTGACCATCTGAAGATCATCCCACCCAGTCCCATCCCCTACCTGATCCCTGTAAACCTGCACTTCCCATGGCCAATCCAGATTTAATTACAGGGAATTTTGGAACTAATTGATTTTTCAGCATAAACATATTGCTTGGTGATATTATTTTCTCCTTCAGACCACTTTGTACTCTGTATCAAGAAAGCAGGCAGCCCACTCTTCAGTGGCTGTTCAATAATGTGTTCAAGAGACTTGCCTGTGTTCTTTTTTTGTAATGACTGAGCTGCCAGGTCTTCACTGTCCCTTCCTCAATGCAAGAGACTGCATTTTGGGAAATTACAGATATGGTTTGAATTTTTTCAGAGATAGTAGGAGCTGCAGATGCTGGAGAATCTGAGATAACAATGTGTAGAGCTGGATGAACACAGCAGGCCAAGCAGCATCAGAGGAGCAGGAAGGCTGATGTTTTGGGCCTAGACCCTTCTTCAGA